AGCCTTGCCTTCACCAAGACTCCTCTGTAGATATTCTCCTAAACTCCCACCCTTCCTTCCTGGAAGCAAACTCTGATGCAGCTGCTATAAGAGTAAGTTTCCACCCCCGGCATGGAGAGTGCCTTCTCACTTCGTGGGGCTATTGAAAGGATGAATTGAGGACAGATATGCGAATGTGCTTTGATTACTGTCCATGTGTCTTTCTCTCTCTGTCCCTTGCTTCCAATTCCCTCCTGCACCCACAGTCTGTCCACCTTAACCAGCCACATTGTCAAAGCCAATTATGTCTTTCTTGTTTAAAGAAATTTTATAGTCTGTTTTTAAAGAAATTTTTAAAATCTGTTTAAGGAAATTTTATCATCAAAGTACTTTTATAAAAAGTACAAATATAGTACTTTTATATTTCTCTCTTAAAAGTACTAATTCATTTCACCTTTAAGTGGCCTGGGATTGATTTTCTTCCCTGTGGATCACAAGGACTTTGATAAGCAGAGTGCTTCATTTCTGAAAATATATTACTTGGCCTTTCCATTTTATCAAAGTATTTTTTTAATTAACAAAAGGCATAACTAAGGTGCACTGAAATGTGCTTTAAAATTCTCTATTTCAAAAATAGGCCCATATGCTAGTTTTCATTCAACTCATCAGAGCATTTTTATTCCAGCGACTAACAAGCTTTCTGATTCCATCAGCAAGAAAAAGATGTTTAATGAGTGAAGCTACCTCTGCACTTGTTATATTTCACGCGTGAACTCGCACCCCCAAAGGACATCTTTTCACGGCCTGAGCAGCTATGAAGATCACTAGGTGGAATAATGTATGGCAGCTGTTCCGGGGCTGTCCACACAGGCGTCATGACTTTTGCTTGGTTTAACTTGTTCTGACAGTAAATAGCAAAAGCCCCTCTGCTTTGCTGGGAGTGGAATGACCATTTCTAAGTCATCAGCACCAACTGGACTTGCGTCCCCTCCCGGTGGTCATCACCACTACCTGTGTGCATCTGCAGTGGTGATGCCCACCCTTCAAGCAACACCACCCTCCTCAGACCACTGGGAAAGAAAGGATAGGAGGCGGTACTTACTAGAATATGAGGTGGGAAAAGTGAGTTGGTCCAGCCTCTTGGCTGAAGAATTTGAATCTATTCTTGGAGACATCCAACCTCAAAAGTTTCCCATCTAAGGAAGAAAACACCAATTGAGTATATGCATGGCCTCAAGGTCAGCTAGGTCCCCATGGTCTTAGAGAACCAAGTGGGCTGCCTTGAACTCCTGTTTCTAGGGCCTTAAGAAACCATAAGGCTTCCCTCCCCCAGAGCTCTGTAAACTCCAGATTCTTCCATGGCCGTGGTCCAGCTCCTTCATTCACATAATGTGGTCTCTGTTCCATTTCCGTGCTAGTCATGGAGCAAAGCTCAGTTCCTCTTTGGCTTCCACAAAAAAGCCATGCACACTGAGCATTCTACATGCTATTACAAATTTAGGGGATATTTTGGAGGTGAAGAGCAGTGTTACATGACACATTGAGTTGCCTTCTACCCTTCACTGTTTCCTCCACCCTCCCAACCTTCCTTTTTATCTTCTGGGTCCTTCTTAAGAGCAACCTACAGGTCTCTCTCCTTTGATATGCAAAACAGTTTTTCCATATCCAGGATGCTTCTCATCTCCATGGCTACCCCAAGCTGGCTGACCAGGAATTTTCACAACAAGGGCAGTCCTTTGGGTATTATCCTAAAGAGAAATTTTTATAAAGACTACTAAGTGAGAAAATAAGAAAAAATTCCCACTATCCATCTTGTTTTGAGTAACCCTTCCGCACACTGCCTAATAAAAAATTTTAGTTCATGTGTATTGAGTACTAGATACACATCCTGTGCTAAGTAGACATTAAAATTCACAGCCACCCATAACAACCTGGAGAAACTAAAAGACTGAGCCAAGTCATCTTGCTAGAAAGTAAAAGAGCTGGGATTTGAACCCAGGGCACCCCATGCAAGGACCCCACTGCATTTCCTCATCTTTTGCTGCACTACATACATAGGCTGAAATGGCAGCACCCACTCAGGTAGAACCACAGCACTGGGACACCTGGACAGTCTGGAGCTAAACCACAGAGGATGTTTCATGTTAAAGAGAATCATTCCCAAGCCACAAAGTGTCACAGGAAACAGAACACTTGGCTTCCCCGTCCCCGTCACGTTCCCCGTGGCTAGATTATAAGCAACATCCTGCACTGTGAGGAGACCCTGATGGTCCTTGGCAGCTCGCACACCACATCTGTCCACACATCACCCGGCTGAATGTCACCGGCACTGCTGCCGATGTGGTCTCACAAATTAGGGAACCCGAGTGAAAGGATGACGCCGATTTAGGATTATCAGAAGGGCCCCACAATCTTCCCCAGCCCTCTGGGCATTATGGGAGCATGACCTAGAAAATCAAATGCAGAGAAGTGTCCCAAAATATAGGAGTCTTGTTTGAGGCATAGTAAAACTATTAGCTTGAGAAATTGGTCTGGAAACCTTATTAAAAGAGACAAATCATTCCACATTCTCTTCAGACTGAAAAAACAGTAGGTAATAGACTTTGCCTGATGCCTCGGATCCATGCACCTCATGTCAAGATCACAGCCAAACTCTGCCAAGGCTAAATTCAATGCGGGTGATAAAGGCAATTATTTTTTTCTTAAATGGGCAGTTCTGTTTAATTCCGATTTCTCTGGCCAGCCACTGACTTATCTGTACCAGTCCCTCATTACTGTGAAGGTTGCAAGGTGGAAAAGCCAATGGCAAAGAGAAATGAAGTTCAAATTGTGGATTTGGCATTATTGCACAGCTCAGCAGATGACTGTCCAGCCATAGAGTCCCCTGTGACCAGCACCTCCTCCCCCCACACACACTCTCACATCTTCTGCCTCAGTATGCTTCATTAACCCCCGATGGAGACACGGGGAAAGCAAGGCACCATTGCATTACAAAACATAACCTGCACATCTTTGCTATTTGAGAGGGGTGTAAGAAGAATCTCTCAAATTTATATATGTTACCTATTATCATTATTATTTTTGTGGAGCACCAATGCATTCAATAATTGTACAAATAACTGGAATTTAGTGAGTTTTTATTCTGTGCCTGGCACTGTGTGAAGGGCTTTATTTACATGAATTATCTCCTTTATCCTTAGACCAACCCTATAGAGCAGGGGTTTGCAAATTTTTTCTGTAAGGGGCAGAAAGGAAATATTTTAGGCTTCACAGACTATACGGTCTCTGTTGCAGCTACTCTGCAGCTATAGCATGAAAGCAATCATAGATAATACATAAATACATAAATGTGGCTGTGTTTCAATAAAACTTTATTTACAAAAACAGGTGGCTGGCCAAATTTGGCCTTTGGACTATAGTATGCCAACAACTGCTGCAAAGGGAATTTTGGATATCCGCAGTAGGAAGGTGGGAGATGCAATTTTTCCCTCTCCTACATCCTCCCTCCTCCCTGCTCTTTCTTTCTAATTCTAGTTCTGGAGGAAGGAGAGAATAAAAGACTTTTTGCATGTGACTTCCCAGGGTGAGTTAGTTGTTCTCCATAACAACAGAGAGAGCAATCATCTCCTTCGTGAAAACCCTGCCTCTGTGGTGGCTGTGAGAGGAGGCACCACATTCCATGGGTCACCTCTGTTGATCTAGTTCCTTGTCTGCGAGTTTGGTGTAGACCGTGGCAGATCCCACTGCTGAGAAATCCAATCCCAATCTGCTCTCAGAAGCCTTGGTGAGGTTTTGTGAGTCTCAGCTACATCTTCTGGGAAATCCCCAAAGGGAGGGTTTTTCTAACAGATGGCCTCCCCAGCAAGCCTGCAGACCTCATCTTAGCTCTGAAACCTGTAAGCCTGAGCAGGGTCTATCTCTATCCCCTTGAGAACCAGGAATTTGAGGGATCATGCCTCGCCATTCTGTGCAGCCACACCCCCTCCACCTACCTCAATATTCTTTTACAACTAAAGTTATCTAGCGGCTCAACAGATAGCAGGGGAATGAAACATCCCTCTCTCCTTCTTGATGACACCCATAAATCTAAAGAACAAATTATGATCTTAGAGCAGGGATTCTCAGTCTCTGCACTGCTGATATTTTGGGCCAGATAACTCAGCGGGGGAAGCAGGGGAAGGGTAGAGAGACCTTTCCTGTGCACTATAGGAAGTATAGCCACATCCTGGCCTCTACTCACTAGACACCCATAGCAAACCCCAAGTGTGACAATCAAAAATGTCTCCAGACATTGGCAGATGTCCCCTGGGAGGATAAAACAGCCTCTGGCTGAGAACCACTATCTTAGACTGAAGGGCAACCACCACCGTTTGCTCTCAGCTGTAGGTTCTAATTCCCAGTGCCAGAGAAATAGGAAAGATGACAGGCAAGACCTCTCAACACCATGTGACTTATCTTCTGTTGCAAAGTGTAATTATCCCCACTTTATATATGAGAAAACTGAGGCCACACCTCAAGTAAGCAGCAGAGCCTGGATTTGGACCCAGGACTGATGTCAAAGCACATATTTTTTAAAAGCTACTCATGATCTGATCGTAAATGAGCACTGTGAAGGTTTTCCTGGAATAGGCAAAAGTTTGCCATAATTCCTGTGGTGAAAAGAAAACTAGATTGTACTTGCCCTTCCGTCAGAGTGTTCGGTCTAATCAGCAACATTTCAAGGTAGATATTCTCCCCATTTTACAGATGAGAAAACTGAGGTCCAGCAAGACTAACAAATAATTTGAAGTTAGCATAGCAATGATTTTTAAGCCCAGTGTTTCTGCGCTCAGAGCCTTCACATTTCAACACCTAAACAGTGGGTGGCTGCTCCCCAAAAGAGAAACTAAGTCTAAATTCCTACATTACCCTCTAGCCAATGTGTCCTGCCAGCGATCAGAAAAGCTCAGTGATAAATGAGACTGACATCCCCCCCACCCCTTGTCCTTGGCTTGCTTCTGTGACCTCTTTCCTTGTCCCAGCTCTGCATGCAGTACTGGCCTGAGAAGACCTCTGGGTGCTACGGGCCCATCCAGGTGGAGTTTGTCTCTGCAGACATCGATGAGGACATCATCCACAGAATATTCCGCATCTGTAACATGGCTCGGGTAAGTATATGGTGCCTTTCTTTGCTCACTGTGCCCTCCTTCCCAAAACAGGTGGGGGAGGCTGCTGGAGGATCCGCCCAGCCAGCCGAGAGCTTGTGTTATGCTTTCCTGATAATCTCTTCCTTGGGGAAGCAGTGCCTTTGCTGATTCCAGCTCCAGAGCCAGCAAATGACTCCAACACACAGAGATGCAGGGAGCAACATACACCTGCCATCTGCCTGTTTCCTGACACGTTTGCTGCCATGTAGACCAAACTTCTTGGGCATTAGTGCTTCCCCACTGCATCACCCTGTTTTGGCATGAGCTGTTGAAGATTTTGATTGGATGCTGTAAGCTTTAGGCTAGGCCCTGCCAACACCGAGTTGACAGATAACTAGTTGCTTCCATGAGGGTGCTCACTGGCTGAGTGGCAGAGTATTGGGTGGGAGGGGGCAGAGTACTAATCTATGAAATGGTGGGTAAATAATGTGAATTTGGTCTTTACTGGGGGCCCAGGGTGAACAGAACTCAGCCCCTCCCCTCTGAGTTCACTATCTAATGGGGGAGGTGAAATATGTTCTGGCATATGAGCCTCAGGGAGAGAAGAACTCCACCCAATAGTGTTAGGGAAGGCTTTCCTAAAAAAAGGGACAACTCCATTCCCCATAAATACATAAATAAAAGAAAACTTTTTTCTAAAGAAAACAAACTGGGTTTTGAAGACTGAGTAGGAGTTTTCCAGATACAGAGGGGGTTCGGGGCAGTCATGGCAGTAGAATCAGCGCACACAAGGGTACAGAGGTAGGTATGGGGATAGTCTGAGACTCTCTCCAAAGGACATGGCTTTGACCCATTGAGTCTGTCTTCCACTGTAATGCTACAGCCCCTCGGGTGTCTGGAAGGCTTGCATCCCCAAGCATTCCCAGCAGAACAGCCCTAGCAGCCTCTCTGTTCCCAGCCACAGGATGGGTATCGTATAGTCCAGCACCTCCAGTACATCGGCTGGCCTGCCTACCGGGACACGCCCCCCTCCAAGCGCTCTCTGCTCAAAGTGGTTCGACGGCTGGAGAAGTGGCAGGAGCAGTACGACGGGAGGGAGGGGCGCACTGTGGTCCACTGCCTGTGAGTACTGTGGGGGTGATGGGTGATAGAGCATCCCTGAGGATGCTGCTGGCCACCTACACCAGCCCCTAGGCTTGCCCGGCTATACCACATCACAACATCCCTTGAAGCCAATGGCAGTATATTCAAAGGAATTATGACCCTTTAATGGACTGAGGTTGCCAGTTTGTGGTCCTGAACTATTGTTTTATGACATATGATTGATGCAAAACCTGGTGGCCTTTTCACAAACATGGGCAGGGGAGTGGGGGGCTCTGGAGCAGGCCACTCTCCAATGCTCCCGATAGGGAGGCGAGCCCCTCTCCAACAGGAGGCATGATGTCACAAGAAAGCTCAGGACAAAGCAGGTCCCACTGACCAGAAACTCTTCTATTATTTCCTGAAGAAGAAAAGAGAAGGCATTGATTAAGTCAGCTTAATTTAAGCCACCCGTTCTAAATAGATCACCTCATTTCATCTGTGAGGTTGATGCTCTCATTTTGCAGTGAGAAAACTGAGGCACAGATGGGGTGAGGACTCAGGCAGCTAAGCGAGGAGCTACAATCTACCTTCTCTGAGCTCCATGCTAACGTGCCTCCACTAACCCACACTGCCCTGAGTAAACCCAAAGACTTGTCTGCTGTGTCTGCCTCCTGGGGCATCTGTTCCTATCGGCTTAGTGGGAACACAGGGACATCGAGAGCGTGAGAGAAGGCACTGCACTGAGGGGCACAGAGGCAGATTCAAAAGGCCCTGGGGACTCTTTCCCAGGTGCACAGTGGGCCCAAGACCCAGCTGTGCTTATACCTCCGTTACTGGCTGAGATAGAGCCTTTACCTCCTACCTTTGACTGGGCATAGCCCAGTCAAATGGCCCCTGATGTCATTATACTAGGTGGAGGTCAGGACCCTTAGAGGACTGTGGCTGACAAGCTGTGCAACATCAGGAAAATCAATTAATTTTGTGAGCCTCAGTTTCCTCATCTGTCCATTGTGTATGTTGAATTAGATCATTTTGGACCCTATAGTGCTTTGGTATGAAATAGTTAGAAAACAGACAAGATTTATCTGCCAACATAGAGATCAACAATGTCATGGTAGCAAATATGCAAATGTTGCAACTGTAGTTACATAAAAGAGCCGGTGTCACACAGTCTGCCATAGCAGCATAAAATGAGCAGAGAGAAGGATTCTACAAAGATCTCGGACCCATAACAAGTCTGCATAACAGCTGTGGGTGAGTATTTGATTCATGACCATTCACTTTGCTCCTTAGAACTTAAATGATTTGGGGAGAAGTGATTGAGAGGGCCTCCCTCTTTAAAAAATGTTGTGTTTAAGGAAATTTGAACCAAGATCTCTTTTTAAGAATCAATATTTCTGAAGCTAGTGGAGGCGTTAACGACATCTGACTGACCACACAACTGAGTTCAGCCTTTCCAAAACTAGCTGATTGTTCTCCCTCTTCTAAATAGGTGGTGCACACACATGTCAGGAAAGTCAGAGAGCTTACAGGAGGTTAAACACACACCCACATGCATGCACACTCAGAACTTAAGGGCCACCACCTGTAGCAAACCCCCTTCCCAAAGGACAGGAATCTCAGACTGAAGTCCGGGAAGATGCTGTGTGATGTTCCTTGTCAGGTTGATGGATGACTCGGCCAATCCAAGCTGGCTCTTCCCACATCCCAGACACTGGCAGCTGGTTCCCTGCTAACTAACCCCTGCTCCCTCCAATTCCCTCCTATACAGTCAGGTGGCCCCACCCACCGGTTGCTCAGAGCCACACCCATCCCTTCAGGGTCTCACTGCACCAGGCCCTGAGATGCCTGTGTCCACTCACCTCTTCCTCTTGGACTCTGCTGTTCTTGCTTCAGAAAATACTGAACCCTCCTTCCTGGAGGTCCTTTCATACTGTGTCTCACGTATTTATTTGTTTACCTTTTTATCCATGTCTCCCCTAGCCAAGGCAACCAGCAGTTTGTACCAAAGAAAAGCACAGGGGGGTCCTTCTACCAACAGGGACCTTGGCACCCTTGAGGGCCACAGATGCCATGACAGACACTGAAATGCAGGCTCAGCCAGTGAATGGAGGGCACTGTCAGTACCTGAAACATCTGGTCGTTGGGCGCCCTATAAATAAAACATCTGGGAGACTGACTGAGTGCCTTAGTTTCCGTCCAGATGTTCTTTAGACACAGACCATTACATGAAATCATTAATTGCTCTTGGCAACAAGCCCAGGAGTTCCAAATCAGGCAGATTCCTAAAGGGACTTTCTGTAAAGAGTTTGAGGGGTGTTTCCATGAAGATGACTTATGGAGCTTCAGAAAGACGGGGTAACAGAGAGATGGCCCTGCCAAGAGCCCCCTGTCCTATACTCAGGATCCGTAGGGTCTTGCTTAAACCAGGGTGTACAAGTAGAGACCTGACATTCCAGGGTACAGGCTCTCAGGCCCACCGCAGCTCCCGCCCCCTGGCCTGGGCTGACTAGCCCAAGGCTAAGGGAGTCTTGCTGGCCTTAGTGGAGGATGGGAAGAACTAGTAGAGAAATCACTTGGAATCTTCCATTGTCTTCATCGGATGTGTAGGTGGACCCAGAGTGTCCTTTTGGACAAGAATGCAGGTACCACATGTACAAAGACACAATACCGTCTTGCCCTGGGGATTGGGTCAGTGTGCCATGAGTGTCTATAATGTGCTCCTAGAACTGAGGAAACATCAAAGGCCATCTTGTCCGACCCCTTCGTTATGTGAATGGGGAATTTGGGGCCCACACAGTGGAAGGGACTTGTCCAAGGTCAAAGCAGGGTCATGGCACTGATGAGACTCAAACCATAACTCATGGCTCAGGTTGAGGCTTCCACCATTGCCTCACCGTGCATTTGCAAGGGCAGCCACTCCCCCACTACTGCTGATGTGGCTTTAGGGTCCTCAGGTGCCTGGGGGCCACTCAAGAATGTGGCTCACATCTTTGCTCTGTGCTTAGAAATGGGGGAGGCCGCAGCGGAACCTTCTGTGCCATCTGCAGCGTGTGTGAGATGATCCAACAGCAAAACATCATCGACGTGTTCCACATCGTGAAAACATTGCGCAACAACAAATCCAACATGGTGGAGACCCTGGTGAGTGTCCCGAGAACTGTTCTCCAACAGCCAGGGGCTGACTGCCATTCCCTCGACCTGACAAAAGTGACGTCAAACAGTAAAAAGACTCGACAGCAGGGTGCTTACTGAGTACCTGCAGTCTATGCCCTTTGCACACACTGTTGTCAGCCCTGTTCCTCCCCTTCCAACCCCTCCAACTTCTCTTCCCTGCAGGGCAATCCAAATACTAATCCTGATACAGCTACTTTGTTTTACCTTCTGCCCATTCCTTAAGAAAGTGTCACTAATTCAGGCTGAAAGGAAGGGATTCTGGATTAGTAGAGTGTGAATTATGTTTTCAGTTCGGTTCAATGCCATTGTAATTCATTTATGCTAATCTTTACAGTATAAAGCATTGAACTAGGGCACTGTGGAGAAAAGGACAGTAAAGCGAGTGGGCAGGCAGAGCCCCAGATGGTAAGACTTGGTACAACGGTGGAGACAGACCGTACACAAGGAACTTTAATATAGTCTTTACACCTGCTCAAAGTGTGGGGCTCCTCAAAGTGAGGTCTTATTCAAAGTGGGGCCCAGAGACTAGCAACAGCAGCATCACCTGTGAGCTTGTTGGAAATACAGAATCTTGAGCCCCGTTCCAGATTTACTGAATCAAAATCTGCAGTTTTAAAAGATTTCTGGGTGCTTCATATGCACATTACAGCCTGAGAAGCACCGTTGTACCAAACAGTAAAAAAGGAAGGGAATGATCCCAGCTGGGCATTAGAGAAAGCTAGGGAAGAAGTAGGCATCAAGCAGAACTTTGAAGGATTTCCAGATATGAGTCATTCTGAGCTGACTTTCAGTGTGGATGTAAACAAAGATTTCTCCCAAATCTGTATCTCTAAACTAAATGCATTTTCCCTTTGCTTTCCATCTCTCTCATCTCCTCTTCTCCCTCTTTGCCTCTCTCCTCTCCTCCTCTCAGGAACAGTATAAATTTGTATACGAGGTGGCACTGGAATATTTAAGCTCCTTTTAGCCCAGTGGGATGAGGAACCTGCTGGAGTCCAGAGGCTGCTGCGGCCAAGCCCCCTTTTCTGTGGATGGCAGTGACTGGGCTAAGGGGCTCAGAGATGGCACCCCTGGCCAACTCCAGGGAGAAGACTGGTGGTCCCATGTTCCACGGTGGGCTCTGCACCTTCTGAGGGGTCTCCTGTAGCTGCGGGAGATGCCGATCTGAAAGGCACAGGTTTCCCTTCCCAACCTAACCAGCCACAGCCATGGGCCCAAACAGAAGTGCACCCATAAGTGAGGCCTCGGATTTGGGTTTCCCAGACCTCTTGCTTTTGTTCTTTCTGAGTCTGTGAATCTCATAGCAAGCTGACTGTGCAGGTGCAGGACAGTGGGAGGCTCAGCAGCACCTCTCCCACCCTACCTCTCCTTAGGAGTGGAGGGGGGTGTGTTCTACCCCGTCACAAGGTCATGGAAGAGATCAGGGATCTTGGGGTCACTGCTCTGCTGCCCCCTGCAATCTCCTTCAGGGGCCTCTGGCACTGAGCACCTGCCAGTCTGGATCAGTGTGACCTCTGGATGCTCCCTAGACCGCGGCAGAGGTGCCCCATCCTCACGCCTAACCTGCATGTGGCTTGGCCAGCTACACTCTATACCAGCCCAGGCCTTGACCTTCTGTCATTCACTGGCCAGCCAGCAATGTCCACAGTACTCTTTGATAAAGTTTGGGGTTTTTTTTAGTTTTGTTTTTTTTTGGGGGGGGGGTTGTTTTGTTTTGTTTTTGCTTTTTTGTGGTCAGTGGGAGGGGGTGGAACTGCAGGGAACTTTGCTGCTCCTCCTCGTCTTTGTATAAAGAGACCCCCTCCCTGGGTCCCGGCTGACCCGTGTGGTGTAACCCCTGTGTCTCCTGGGTGGTAGCTTTCTTTGGGAGAGATGAGCAAGGTGAGATTTGATTATTTTCTGAAGTGTTACGTGAAAAGAAACTTTATTTTAGAGGGTGTAAAATCTTAGTCTCTTATGTCAAACAAAAGGGGGCGGGGAGTTTGAATGTGTAGCTATAAGACAAATCTCTTGGGTCTGTTATCCTTCCCAGTAATGTTTTCAGAAGATCCCACCCTGGAACAGCACAGCCATTGAGCAAGGGAGAGATGGGCTGGTCTGAAGATTGTCCCTTTGGTTTCTGGGACAGAAAAAGCACCAACTTTGTGCATAATTTATATCTCCAAATTCAAACTCCTTCCTAGAAAAGCCCAGCTGCCATTGTGAAAAGGCCATTGTGAAAAGGCCATTGTGGACCCCCTTATACTTTGATTTAAAATAGGTCAAAGGGATCAAGCTCGGGGTTGTAGGGTCATGTCCACATGGGTGAATCAGTGAAAGGCAACGACCGTTTGCTGAGCATCTGCTGTGTGTTGGGTGTCCTGCTGGGCCCTTTCCATGTGGCATCTCACATGGTCCTTAGAGCACTCAGGAGAGAGCTATTGACTTGTTTTCATGTCCATTTTACAACTGTGGAAACTGAGGCACCTTTCTCAGTGATGAAATCCTGGATTCCAAAAAGGCAGGTAAAGGAGATGAGACTTGTCTGTTCTGTTTTCCTCATCCTTTCTCAGCCAAGCATTATTTTATGGACAGAAAATAAGGCCAGGAACTTCCGAGCACAGAATTCCACACACTGGACATTTAGTTCTTTCTTCCTGATGCCAATTCTTCTGGGAAACCCAGCATTTCAGATATATTTTAGTAACTCACTCCCAGCTCCCCAGGAAAGCAAGTCTCATCTAATTTCTCAGTCCATGAAAAATTCCCCGTTCCCTCAGGCTATGAGAAGACCAGCCAGGGATACTCTCTCTACCCTGGTCTCTAGCCAGTGCTTAGGCATAATAACTGACAGCCTCAGGGTGACCTGGGACCTAGGAAGGTCCATCTTGGAGGCAGGTCTAGCCTTAGACAGAGCATAAGGGGCACAGAATGCAATAAGGCGCAGGCTGTGCCCCCACGAGCTCACTGTATACTGGGGAAATACAGTGCAGTCGTGGTGAAGCACCCAAGTGGTACATGAACGAGGAGCAGGAGAGGCTGACTGTGCTTGGGGCTTCCTAAAGGAGGTGGCATCCATTCCAGTTGGCTCTCAACAGGTAGAAAAAGGAAGAAAAGGAAACTCAAGCCTGGGGGTCAGCATGTGCAATGGCAAAGAGATATGTAAAGGCCTCGGGGGAGGCCAGCCCGGCTGGAGCCTAGCAGGACGGGGCGTGGCAGATGAGCCAAGGTCAGGAAGACAGATGCCCCAATGGGGTGCAGACTTTGTCCTGTCAGCAACGGAAGTCAGCAGGGCTTAGAGTGCTGTGATCAGCTTTGTGCTGGAAAAGACTCCCTCTGGGCTGGTAGGGCTCCTCTTTTCTTTTCATCAGACACTGTGAAAATATTCTCTTGAGCACATACCTTTTAATATCACATCTATTTGTCTGTCTGCTCAGTATTTTGTTGCTGGGACAAAATGTGCAGTGGATCATGTGAGATGTGAGAAACCAGGGTCTCTGCTTTACCACAGAGCAGGGTCGCCAACCCAGGCCTCCAGGCCCACAAGGACAGAACTTGAAAGCAGCCCACAGAAGCTGTTTCCATTGGTGCGAGCTCGGGAGCTGTCTGGAAATTCAGAGACACCAGACTTGATCAAGGAAGGCCTGTCACTTTGGAGGTTCAAAAGGCAGCATCTCAAAGCAGAGGCAGGCAGAGGAACCCCATGACTAACTCACTCTTCTCCTTTGATGAGCCTCTTCCCAGGTGTGTTTGAGCAGGTCTCCAGGACCCAGCCCTCACTGGTCCTGCTGGGTTCCCCTGGCCCCAGCCCACTGCTTGAGATTGCCTTCCCCAGACTTTAGGGAGCCTGTAGCGCAGCAGATCAGCCTGTTGCATGGTATTTTCTCAGATCTTGGCTCATCCAGACAGAATGAAGGTGGAGGGAGGGCTATTTCACACAACTCCTAAGATTTATTCTGCTCAGGAAGGGGTAAAATAGCCAGCAGATAAAAATGACAGTGACTTCTATCCTTTCAAATGGCAGGAATTTAAAGCGTGACTTCAGGGAGAAGGAAACTTGTAAAACCTCAGACCACGGTGGGGTAACCCTACAAGGGCCAGTGATGATTCCCCCAGCTCAACCCCCTATTTTCTCACAACCCAGCCACTCTCCAAAGAAAGTAGGGCAGTGAACAGATCTTAGGCCAGTGTATACAAGAAAAAAACTGGTGCTCATAGCTGGGGATGACTGTCCTAAGATCCCACGTGACAAGTATGTGGCTAGGCTTGGAGGAGGCAGGGCATGATGAATTTGAACTTGATCCTTTGCCCAGGACATCTCTGGAACAAACATCACTTCCCCCAGGGTATCTCCCTATCCCACCACATCTCCAGGAGGGGCTCACCCTGTCGTGAGCAGAGGAAAATAGTAGTAATGCTCTCAGAGTCTCCACGAAAGGAACTGGCCCCTTGTCTCTGGGGTACTAAAGAGTGCCCTCACTTAGTAAGGTGCCTCATAGGGTTCTCATCTCCTAGATATCGACCTTGCTTGGAAAAGATGCAGGAAATTAATGAGAAGCCAGGAACTGTCCCCACCTGCATGTGTTTATAATCTAGATAGTTTAAGGATGTATCTCAGCAGCACCCCAAGATTGTGTCCTTTCATCCTTTCTGGTGTCAAGATCCTGGGCCAGCCAGGGGACTCTGGGCCTCTAGACAGCCACAGCAGAACTCCCTTGGTGGGATGGAAGAGACCAACTTGCTCTTAGTGCTGGCCCTCTCTTTGGGTGTGGCCTGAGCCATGGCCTGCCAGATGTCAGCTGTCACATGGAACCAGCAGACCCTATACTGGGGACTCTATCATCTGAGCTCACTGAACTCTTCCAACATTCGCAAGAAGTTGCGAATTTGTGATTGTCACTATTTTACTGATGAGGAAAGTGAGGTTCCACAGGGAGAAAGCACTTGCCCAAAGTTCCACAGCTAGAGAATGAGTGAGCCAGAACTTAAACTGGTTCTTCTGACCACAGAGATGTGGCTCAGATTTTCCCGTGGGGTGACCCATGACAGCGAGGCTCCAGTGAAACAGACAACTCAGTGGGTCTTGGTAAAGCCTGGAGCAGACTACGGCAAGCTTAAACTTCACAGTCTCATGCTCGACCTTAACAATCCGTGCAGTATTCACATTCCACTTCCTGATTTAGCCTGACTGGTTATGACTGTATAAATATTTTTTCAAAAAGCCAAGTGCCCTGTCTCTGGTGTGACTTTGGTCTACTCAAACCACTGTGATGCACTTTTGGGAATTGCATCCCAGCCTGAGGCACAGTGCCTGCCATGCTGCTTTCTCCTGAGGGCAAGTCCACACTCATGCTCACAGCAGCTCGCCTTCCCCTAGGCAGATCCTTTGGTGCGGGGGTACCTTGAACTCACTGTTCACGGGTTGACCTCAGCTAAGGTCTCTTCCAGAAGGGTGCTGAAAAGAACCCATTGACAAAGACTAGAATGATGAGGACTTGCCCCCATCTGGCATGGTGAAGGCTGAGCCTACAACACCCTAAAGGGAAAGGAGAAGCCGGGCACAGCCGTACTCAACAGGTTCCTGAATGCTGGAGCTTCTAGAAGGTGGCACCCATGGTCTAGGTGGAGTCACAGGGTGGTTAATGTGGGCAGATCTGAGGACACACTTCACGTGAAGGGCTGAGATCTAGAGGACTTTACTTTAAGGCTTTGCTTTAGCCACTCACACTTACTGAGTTCCTACAATAGGTAGTGCCCTGCAGGGGAATACTACAGCATGGTTCATCCCTTGGTGAGGCATGAGGTTATGGTGGAAAGAGCTCAGCCTTTAGTTCAAATCCCAGCCCTGCCATTTCTTTTCTTGGCTATGGAATGTTGGGCCAACAAATGAATGGAAAAAGATACTAAAAAGAGGACCCTCAGCCAAGTTAGAAGGGGCATATTTGGAGAGCTTTAGGGAGGAAAATAGGAAAGCAAGGCCAGGAGATTGGAACCCAACAAACACTCAGAACCAAGGATGCATATACGCTATTGAGCAAAATGGTCACTTCTGTGACATGGCAGGACAGGGGATAGGGAA